ACAATTACTTTACGATGAAGGTTACAAACGTGTGTTTTTTTAATATTTACGTGTTTTCATTTTATTTAATTTTGGGTCCCCTTTTATAACATATGCAACAGGCACCGCACTAGCTTCATCCGGCACTGGCGTACCCCCATGGCCCCTAAAAAAAAAAAAATCTGTGAGAGGGAAGAGAGCCGGTCCCTTGTTCCACGACCGTGTCGGTACCCTCCGCCGTCCTTCTTGAATCTGAGGCTCGCCCACCGGGCCCAGTCCTGTGGGCACACCACCCGCAGGACGAAGGGTGAGGGCCGGGCATGCGATGTCAGTGTGCCAGGTAGAGGGATGGTCTCGGACGGACTGGACCTTACCGAATGGAAACTCGTGTGTGTGTGTATGTGTGCGTGTGTGTGCACGCGTGTGTGTGTGCACGTGTGTGTGTGCACGTGTGTGTGTGCACGTGTGTGTGTGCACGTGTGTGTGTGCACGTGTGTGTGTGTGCACGTGTGTGTGTGTGTGCGTTCTTTAATTACCGAGTCCCTCTTTATTTCTCTCAATGCAGAGCGGTAGTGCAGCGGTTAGCGCTGCACTGCGCTATGGCCAACGCCAAGTGACGCCCAGTGACGATTATTCTAACCGGCCCTGGGCCTCCCCTAGGTCGACTCAGCCTCAAATGAGTACCTGGTGCGGTGTGTAGTAAACATCGCCACTGGGAGAGACAAAGGCGGCCGGGCGTGGTGCTGGCCACCCACGCCCTCGCGTGCCGTTCCGACCTTCACAGGTGCTGCTCGCTAATAGCACTTGCCCCGACAGTCTGTTACAGGCTACACGGGGGGATCTTTCTGCGTGTGCGCTCTTTTAATTGCCGAGCCCTTCTTTTCGTCTCTCAATGCCATTCCAGGCAACACATTCACAGGGAAACCCAAGCCCAAGGCGTCCGGTTTTAGAATTACTCGAAGCAACTTGGAATTTGATTTGCCATCGCGGTGTGTTTGTCGGTCAGGGCACTGGGTGTGTAATCCAGAGGTGGCCGGTTCGATTCCATCTTCCTGGCGAGGCAGTTAAAACTACACGCTGTTTCATCAAGATCGACCCGATTTGAAATCGCTCTATCTTTGAAATTGAGTCCATCTTCGTGAAACACCCTGTATTTTACCAAAATGTAACAATTGAACTTTTTTTTTTTACCAGCTAAGGCCCACTGAGCTCTTCAGCTCTTTTTCAGAAGCGACCAGCAAGGCTCATCACGTGGAAATGTACAGCGGACAAAGACTCTAAACGCGTGGTGACGTTGATGGGAAACGTGGAGGGGAGCAGCCGGAGGACCCTGGAGAAAAGTCCACGCGACCACGGTGAGAGAGAGACACACGCAGACTCCAAATATACAGCAGCAGCAGGCGTCAGGGTCAGCATCGAACCCCCACGACCTCCTGTACACCAGGCGAGGTAGTTAACATCCCCTAGCCACCGTGATGATGATGATGAGAGAGAGACACACACGCAGACTCCAAATATACAGCAGCAGCAGGCGTCAGGGTCAGCATCGAACCCCCACGACGTCCTGTACACCAGGCGAGGTAGTTAACATCTCCTAGCCACCGTGATGATGATGATGAGAGAGAGACACACACGCAGATTCCAAATATACAGCAGCAGCAGGCGTCAGGGTCAGCATCGAACCCCCACGACCTCCTGTACACCAGGCGAGGTAGTTAACATCCCCTAGCCACCGTGATGATGATGATGAGAGAGAGACACACACGCAGACTCCAAATATACAGCAGCAGCAGGCGTCAGGGTCAGCATCGAACCCCCACGACCTCCTGTACACCAGGCGAGGTAGTTAACATCTCCTAGCCACCGTGATGATGATGATGAGAGAGAGACACACACGCAGACTCCAAATATACAGCAGCAGCAGGCGTCAGGGTCGGCATCGAACCCCCACGACCTCCTGTACACCAGGCGAGGTAGTTAACATCTCCTAGCCACCGTGATGATGATGAGAGAGAGACACACACACGCAGACTCCAAATATACAGCAGCAGCAGGCGTCAGGGTCAGCATCGAACCCCCACGACTTCCTGTACACCAGGCGAGGTAGTTAACATCTCCTAGTCACCGTGATGATGATGAGAGAGAGACACACACACGCAGACTCCAAATATACAGCAGCAGCAGGCGTCAGGGTCGGGATCGAACCCCCACGACCTCCTGTACACCAGGCGAGGTAGTTAACATCTCCTAGCCACCGTGATGATGATGATGAGAGACACGCAGACTCCAAATATACAGCAGCAGCAGGCGTCAGGGTCATAATCGAACCCCCACAACCTCCTGTACACCAGGCGGGGTAGTTAACATCTCCTAGCCACCGTGATGATGATGAGAGAGAGACACACACACACGCAGACTCCAAATATACAGCAGCAGCAGGCGTCAGGGTCGGGATCGAACCCACGCCCTCCTGTATACCAGGCGAGGGAGTCAACATCTCCTAGCCACCGTGATGATGATGAGAGAGAGACACACACACACGCAGACTCCAAATATACAGCAGCAGCAGGCGTCAGGGTCGGGATCGAACCTCCACGACCTCCTGCATACCAGGCGAGGGAGTCAACATCTCCTAGCCACCGTGATGATGATGAGAGAGAGACACGCAGACTCCAAATATACAGCAGCAGCAGGCGTCAGGGTCAGCATCGAACCCCCACGACCTCCTGTACACCAGGCGAGGTAGTTAACATCTCCTAGCCACCGTGATGATGATGATGAGAGAGAGACACACACGCAGACTCCAAATATACAGCAGCAGCAGGCGTCAGGGTCGGCATCGAACCCCCACGACCTCCTGTACACCAGGCGAGGTAGTTAACATCTCCTAGCCACCGTGATGATGATGAGAGAGAGACACACACACGCAGACTCCAAATATACAGCAGCAGCAGGCGTCAGGGTCAGCATCGAACCCCCACGACTTCCTGTACACCAGGCGAGGTAGTTAACATCTCCTAGCCACCGTGATGATGATGAGAGAGAGACACACACACGCAGACTCCAAATATACAGCAGCAGCAGGCGTCAGGGTCGGGATCGAACCCACGACCCCCTGCATACCAGGCGAGGGAGTCAACATCTCCTAGCCACCGTGACAGGTTCCTTAAATCCTCCCCCGCCGCCTCTGTCCAGCCAGCGGTACCAATGGGTTCACGTCGGTTAAGTCGACCGCTAGCTCGCGTGTGGTGGGGCAAAGTGTGAGTACTCCCACCTCTTCAATGACGTCTGGCCGGCGTGGAAGAGTATACCAAAACATCAAATGTGTGTGTGTGTGAGGGGGGGGGGGGAGGCTTTGTAGAGTTTCCTTGAGTGGATGTCGTTACAGCAGCAGTAGCGCGTGCGAGCAATTGTAGGGCTGCACCTTTAACCGGAGCAACGTATTCAAACGATGATGGATGTCAGCTCAATGGACATTCTAAATTGCTACATTACAGATAAGCAGACAATGAGTCTCCCTTATGTCGCTGTCTCTCCGCATATAAAATAACATAAAGCTCTACCGTATCTTACATAATCCGTAAGATACGGCATGGTTTCAGCAGCGTTGAGTCATTATTCGTTTGAATTTCTTTCGTGCCGTACGTAGGCAATCGCGCTAAGCGGAGAGGACCGGTTTCAATGAAGCAGAGGATCGGGTTCGACGCGCAGTGACTCATCAGCAGCGGAGTCGGGGTGCTTGAAACCAATAACTTTTAGCTTTCCGACAGCTCTGTTTCTTCACCTGAGGACGGCTGCTTGCGTTGTGGCCGAAACGTCGTGAGAATTTTATTATATGATGTTTTATTTTTTATTATTATTTTATTATTTCCCTTCCACGTGACTTTACCGAAAGAACCAAGAAGATGAATCCCTGCAGTCACGAAAACTTTAAATCGAAATGTAACTTTGAGGTCACTAGCGGTAAGTACCCCTGCGTTGCCCGGGCGAAAAAGACAGACACACATCGACTTACACACACACTTTTAATATGTACACGAGTTGAGTGAAGGAAGCAAGGAACAGAAATATAATTTGTTCCGCACACAAACATGATGAATGTAAAATTTTGATTTGAAGCTTTCGTGACTGCAGTGATTCATATTCTTGGTTATTGTTTCCCTTCAACGTGACTTTACCGAAAGAACCAAGAATATGCTGAATGTAATATTAGCTAGGTGGTTATTGAAAAAATAAGTTTCTATGAAGGTGATTTGACACCAAAAAAAATGCAGAGCAAGTTAGTAATCAAATAATAGTTGTGAGCGTCACAAGCGAAAATCTGTTAATATTTTGAAGGTCATTAATGCACCGTGGTTGTGATACCACTCTTGGGGGGTTGAGCTGGGGGCGTGCCTATGGGCGGGCACTAATAATCTCAGGCCACGCCTCCACCCCCACCCGTGTCACCTCACCCCCCACCCGGGCCATCTCGCCCACCCGTGCGACCTCACCCCTCCCCCCCACCCGAGCCATCTCGCCCCCCTCCCCCCCACCCGAGCCATCTCGCCTCCCCCCACTCGGGCCATCTCGCCCCCCCCCCCCCCACCTTTGCCATCTCGCCCGCCTTCCCCCCCACCCGTGCCACCTGGCCCCTCCCCCCACTCGGGCTATCTCGCCCCCCCCACCTTTGCCATCTCGCCCTCCTTCCCCCCACCCGTGCCACTTGGCCCCTCCCCCCACTCGGGCCATCTCGTCCCCCTCCTCCCCACCTTTGCCATCGTGTTCTCCCCCGTGCCACCTCGCCTCTCCCCCCCACCCAAGCCATCTTGCCCCCCACCCGTGCCACACCTAGCCCCCCCCCCCACCCGAGCCATCTCGCTCCACCCCCCCACTCGGGCCATCTCGCCCCCCCACCACCGTGCCACCTCGCCCCTCCCCCCCAAACGGGGCCATCTTGCCCCGCCCCCCACCCTCCCGTCCCGCCTCGCCCCACCCCGCCGAGAAGCCCCGCCCCTTCCCATTAAGCCCCGCCCCCTAGCGGTAGAGCCCCTCCCGTGCATCGCGTGGAGCCGAACAACAGCAGCAGAGACGCGGCGAGGTGCTGAGTGCAGGAGCCGCGTGGTGAGTGCAGGAGCCGTGTGGTGAGTGCAGGGGTGGTGAGTGTAGCGTGCTGCGTGTGGAGATATCCCCGTGGTGTGTGTGTATCTCCCCTTCTGCCTGTACACGTGTGTGTCTGTGTGTATCTCCCCTTCTGCCTGTACACGTGTGTGTGTGTGGGTATGTTGACCATGGTGTGTGTGTGTGTCTGTGTGTGTATCCCCTTCTGCCTGTACACGTGTGTGTGTGTGTGGGTATGTTGACCGTGGTGTGTGTGTCTGTGTATCTCCCCTTCTGCCTGTACACGTGTGTGTGTGTGGGTATGTTGACCGTGGTGTGTGTGTATCGATGTGTGTATCCCCTTCTGTCTGTACACGTGTGTGTGTGTGGGTATGTTGACCGTGGTGTGTGTGTCTGTGTGTGTATCCCCTTCTGCCTGTACACGTGTGTGTGTGTGGGTATGTTGACCGTGGTGTGTGTGTGTCTGTGTATCTCCCCTTCTGCCTGTACACGTGTGTGTGTGTGGGTATGTTGACCGTGGTGTGTGTGTATCGATGTGTATATCCCCTTCTGCCTGTACACGTGTGTGGGTATGTTGACCGTGGTGTGTGTGTCTGTGTGTGTATCCCCTTCTGCCTGTACACGTGTGTATGTGGGTATGTTGACCATGCTGTGTGTGTGTCTGTGTGTGTATCCCCTTCTGCCTGTACACGTGTGTGTGTGTGGGTATGTTGACCATGCTATGTGTGTGTCTGTGTGTATCCCCTTCTGCCTGTACACGTGTGTGTGTGGGTGTTCACCGTTGTGTACGCGCGTGTGTGTGTGGTGCGTGTGTCTGCCTGTGTACCCGTGTGTGTGTGTACACGTGTGTGTGGGTCTATTCAACATTTGTGTACGCGCGTGTATATATATGCCCGTGTGTGTGTGTTCGCTAACAGCACTTGCCCCTACAGTCTGTTAAGGCTATACGGGGGATCTTTGTGTATACACATATATATGGTGGGGAGCGGTGGTGCAGCAGTTAGCGCCACGCTCCGCTACGAACCCGGCGACCCGAGTTCGATTCCCGCTCACGGCCACCACCGGTGACGATTATCTGAACCGGTCCTGGGCATCCCCTAGGTCGACTCGGCCTCAAATGAGTACCCGGTGCGGTGTGTAAACATCGCCACTGGGGAGACAAAGGCGGCCGGGCGTGGTGTTGGCCACCCACCCACTCGTGTACCGTGCCGGCCATCAAAGGTGCTCGCTAACAGCACTTGCCCCAACAGTCTGTTAAAGGCTACACGGGGAATATTTGTCTTTGCGTGTGTACACGTGTTTGTGTTCACGTGCCATACGAAATGTGCACGTGCCACACCCTTACCGTGTAACATACATGTGGCAAATACCCTTGGTTCAATCCACTGCTGGATGATGGGGGGGGGGATGGGTCGTTGGTGTTATATGACCATACTTCACCACGTTGGGCAGTGCGGGTTGGTGGGAACGCAGGGAGATTATCTGCAGGATGCGTGGGAGCATATGAGTAGAGTACAACTTAATGTGTGCTCTTCCGCACTGCCCTATGCTGGCCAATCATCATCTCTCCATCCGGGGTTGGTAAAATGTGAAAAAGTGAGACTCAAACATCAGGTGCAGTTACGTCGTCGGCAGAAAGCATTTGCCAAAGACGGCGATGGACTGGGCCTTGTCATAAGAACGTGGAATTGGGGCCGTCCGTAAATGACGTCACGCACCTGGGGGGGGGGGGGGGCTTCAGACAATTGTGACGATGTGTGACGAGGGGGGCGAGGGGTTTGAGAAATGTGACGTCACATCAAAATGCGCGACTTTAAATAAATTAAATAGACTTTTTAATAAATGTTTTCTACCTACAACATCAGAGTGCAGCGCCACATTAAATACGCACTACAATGACAATAGTTTAAAGCGATTTGAAGCGTGTTTTATTTTCAAAATGTAAATATGGTTTTGGGGGGGGGGGGGCAGAGCCTTGTGACGTCATATTTGAGGGGGGAGGGGTTCAAAAAATCGTCCAAAATCGCGTGACGTCATTTATGGACGGCCCCATTTCGAGGGAAATAATTTTCACCGTCAAGCGCCCATCGGTCATGCTCGATCCACTGCTGGTCGAGGGTGCCTCCCCAGGGAGTCGTCGTGATCCTGCGACATTACGATCCGTCGCAGCGCCTTGCGGATTTCATCGCTCCATCTCCTCCCCCCAACCCCGCGATTGCTCGGAGATGTTAACTCCCTCGCCTGGTACGCAGGAGGTCGTCGGTTCGATCCTGACCCTGTGACGCCTGCTGCTGCTGCTGTATATTTGGAAGTTTGCGTCTCTCGTCATCATTATCACGGTGGCTAGGTGATGTTAACTACCTCGCCTGGTCTACAGGAGGTCGTCAGTTCGATCCCGACCCTGACCCCTGCTGCTGTATATTTGGAAGTTTGCGTCTCTCGTCATCATCACGGTGGCTAGGTGATGTTGACTACCTCGCCTGGTATACAGGATGTCGTAAATTCGATCCCGACCCTGACGCCTGCTGCTGCTGTATATTTGAAAGTTTGCGTGTCTCTCTCGTCATCATTATCACGGTGGCTAGGAAATGTTAACTACCTCGCCTGGTCTACAGAAGGTCGTCAGTTCGATCCCGACCCTGACGCCTGCTGCTGTATATTTGGAAGTTTGCGTCTCTCGTCATCATCATCACGGTGGCTAGGAGATGTTAACTACCTCGCCTGGTATACAGGAGGTCGTCGGTTCGATCCTGACCCTGTGACGCCTGCTCCTGCTGCTCTATATTTGGAGTTTGCGTCTCTGTCATCATCATTATCACGGTGGCTAGGTGATGTTAACTACCTCGCCTGGTCTACAGGAGGTCGTCAGTTCGATCCCGACCCTGACGCCTGCTGCTGCTGCTGTATATTTGGAAGTTTGCGTGTCTCTCTCGTCATCATTATCACGGTGGCGAGGTGATGTTAACTACCTCGCCAGGTCTACAGGAGGTCGTCAGTTCGATCCCGACCCTGACGCCTGCTGCTGCTGCTGTATATTTGGAAGTTTGCGGTGTCTTTCTTCCATGCGGTCGCGTGGATTTTTTTTCCAGTTCCTCCGTATTTTTCCCCTCCACGTTTATGATGGATTATACTCAACGCATGTGGCTGCTCATTGTGCAGGGAGGTGACCAGTACCAGCGATGTTCGGGCTCCAAATCCCTGCTTGGCTTCTGAGATCTGACGAGGTCAGGCTCGCTGCGGGTGATTCCGTCGTCGGGAATATTTTCTTCACCCTATTTTTTTTTTGTCATCGTAACAGCTCTGCGAGAGTATTTTCTCACACTGTGAGCACTTATCTGTTTGGGCAAGTCCATATTTGTGTGTTCACCTATCAATTCATTGGTGGCCACTCCGTCACAACTACCTCGCCTGCTACGCAGGAGGTCATTGGTTCGATCCCGACCCGGACGCGTGCTAGATATTTGGAGTTTTTCGTATCTCTCTCTCCGTGGTCGTGTGGATTTTTCTCCGGGTCCTCCAGTTGTCTGTTTGGCAAAGTCCATATTTGTGTGCGTTCACTTACCAACACTTCTACCAATAGTAGGCCATAAGATGGATCTTCATAGCTGCCAACCCACACGGTTTGCCCCGTATTCTTGTGCAGGGAAATTGAGTTTGCAGGTCCATACGGCGTACAGACGTTTCAATACGGGCAAAATAAATGTGTTTGTCTATTTGCGTGTGTTCCTCCCTTGTGATGGGACTTTGTCGGATGAACGTTGAGATTTATAAGGGGCACGGGGTGACCAATAAGGGATGAATTGGTCTGTTAATAAGGTAGGGCACTGATAAGGGGTTGACAGGCATGTATATTTATGTTTGCATTTAAAGCGTGTTCCCAAATATTGGATTAATCCAACAACAAAATGGGATGTTAGTTATGATTTGTTAAAAATACAAAAATTTCAGATTGTTCCGAAAATGTGACATCACGGGAAGTGACATCACGTTTGTGGCGTCACTTCCGGCGATTTTTCCCGCCAAAAGGTGCTCCGACGTGACGCGTTACTTAACGGTTGCTTAAATTGTACCCAAAAAAATATATATGCGGCAATGTTTCTGTAAAAAAAACAAAAAGTATTTTATTGACGGAACTTAAGAAAGAAACTCAAGAATGCGCAATTAAAAATGTTTAAAATAATTAAGCTGCGCGAGCTATCGGCATTCTAACACGGTTACGTACGACGTCACAAAAAAAAATGCCCAAAGGTCGATCCAAAACGGCCCTCGCGTTTACCGAAAATCCCACGAGGTGAAAAAGAAAAATCCACGTCGTCTCCTCGTTTGCTCGCGAACGACGCACATTGCGATCGACGCAAACTGCGACCGACACAATGGCCCTCCGCGTGCTCGTGAGCGCAAAATTGCGAAACCGCGACCCGAATGGTTTCGCCGTACTTTGCGCGACGCTGCTGCTGCTGTTGTTGCTGTTGTTTTATTTCATCGCCGAATGTGTTTCCCTTCAAACGCCGAATGCTGACGCGATGAACGATCGCGTCGCCGCCTGCTCGTTTGTATTGTGTCGCATTAAGCCTGTTTAACACCCCTACCCCCCCCCCAGAGGCTGTCGACACCGATATCATCCATGATAGAGGGGTTTTTTGTTTGTTTGTTTTGGGTTCGATCGCGTAAATATGTAAATGTTGTGTCGTTAAACCCGCCACCACCCGACGACGCGACCAATTGGCAAGGTCTGTCGCGCAAACAAAACGTGGCCAATTCGTTGCTCGTGCGGCCACATCCCGGCGTGTTGGAGAGCGAATCCACAACTTTGACAATCTTTGCTCTCCAACGCTCAACCGGTGGTACTGTAGCCCGTAACGAATTGGCCACGTTTTGTTTTTACGTGACCACACCTTACCAATCGGCTGTGTCGGGTGGTGGTGGGTTTAACGACACAACATTTATATATTTACGCGATCTAACCCCACCCCCCCCCCCCCCCAAGAAAACCTCTTTTTTCGATATAAAGCTTTCGTAACAC